CAGAGCATGAAGTAGAGTCTGGGTTTCCCTTTCCCCCCCCAGGTGCCTGTCGGGGCCTGGGTTTCAGCTGTCCACACCACAGCAGTGGACAACGAGCTTAAAGCCCCTGATGGCTCTGGGTGCTGACTCTCACCAGTGGCTATGGCAGACTCACTTTTAAAAGACAAATACCAGAGAGCAATTGTTTGGTAAGAAGCTGTGTTACAATCACAAAGGCACACAGTTTGAATCCACCAGTTGCTGCATGGGAGGATGCCCAGTCTCCTCTGGTGCAGTCTGCCGCCTCTGAAAACCACCGGAGGATTGGCTATGAGTCAGTTCTAACTTGATGACACACAACAACAGGGCTTTAATGTCCCTATTTTTAGGTGATTTGGTGGACCCGGAAGATGTTCCTACTTGTTTAATGTGGGCTCTTTTACTAGCAGTGCCTCTCCCCAGTTAGGAAGGGAGGAGTGTTTGGAAAGCTCCTGACAGATGAACAGCCTTTCTTTAGATGTTTCAAAAGAGGCTGAGCAGTGCCCCATCTGTGACAGCTGGTCACTGCAAGTGGGTAGGGAAGGAGGTCTGAAAAGGAATGGTCTAGAGAGAAGTTGTTGTTGTTGTTGTTGTTTGTCATCGAGTCACTTGCAACCCATAGCGACCTCATGTACAGCAACTCTGAACCCAGTTTCACTAATTCTGACACACCAACCTCCATTGCCCCAGTCACTGTACAATCTATCTCATCCAAGGTCTTCCTCTATACCCTTCGAAGCATGTCCTTCTCCAAGGACCATTCTCTCCTGGCTTGTGCCCAAATTATGTGAGATGGAGCTAGAAGCATCCTCAAAAAGTAATCTCTTAAATCTGTGTGTTCTGTGAAATCTTTGCTCCTTAGCGTGGTGGTCCTCGACCCTGGTGGCATGTTGGAACCACCTGAGGGAGGATCTTGGAAAGGAACACTCATGTAGATTTAGTCTGGTGAGGTTTGTGGTAGTACAAGATCTCCAGGAGATTTTAATGCACAGTCTGGCCAAAGAATGTTGTTAAGCGCCATTGAATCCTCTCCAACTCATTAGCGACTGTAATTATAACTGAATGAAACCCTTGTTCAGGCCTGTGCCATTGTCACATATCTGCTGGCACTTAAGAATACTGCTTTACAA